ATTAGGAGCAGTCAATGGTAGTAAGGCACGCTCACTCTCAGTCAACAACTCCAAGGGCCTAAGCTCCTCCACCAAATCTTTGGCCACCCCCGTGACCAGAAATACCAATGCCAACCTCCCGCCATCAGGACGGACATCAGCTCCTCGAACCACTGCTGCTGTCACCAGTAAGCCTGGGAGAGGAACCATCATGGGCACGAAGCAGGCCATGAGGGCTGCCAACAGCCGTGTGAGCGAACTGGCGACAGGCAACCTATCAGGCAAACATCTGAGAGGTTCAGGAGATTCAGACAGCGGGAATGACAGCGGTGTGAATGTGAGTGATGACAAATCCCCCGTAGCCATGCTGCCCTCTCCGTACAGCAAGATTACAGCACCCAGGCGGCCTCAACGCTACAGCAGCGGCCATGGCAGTGACAACAGTAGTGTGTTGAGCGGGGAGCTGCCCCCAGCTATGGGCCGCACAGCTCTGTTCTACCACAGTGGTGGCAGCAGCGGATATGAAAGCATGATCCGTGACAGTGAAGCCACAGGCAGCGCTTCCTCTACCCACGACTCCATGAGCGAGAGCGGCATGTCATCTTCAGGCAGAACAAGGAGCTCCAAGTATCCCAAGAAGAGAGCAAATGGTGAGAAACTAATTTGGGTTTTAGGCTTTTACACGTATCAATGCAGGTAATATTCACACATATTATACTGATAATAGCAGTGTACTGTATGTGAGATCTATCAAACGGTGCTTGCCCGTGAAGTTCCACATATTGAAATAGCATCCAGAAATGAATGCCCTCTCAAAGGAAATTAGCCTTACAGCGGCTCTAACTTTATGAATCCATTCTCATTACATCCACGGATTGGTGTTTCATTGGATTTTCTCTCCTCCTGAATCAGCAGAATACATTATTCATACATATATGGGGAAATGATAATGAATGTTTCAAACAAGACGACTTCGAACTGTGTGATGATCAAATAAGATGAATTGAACATGAACAGCAGTGACCTGATTCAGTTTTTTGTAGCCCTGTGTGTGTGTGTATATATATATATATATATATATAAAAAACCATTTGAATTCATGTGCGTTAAACCAACCTTTTGAATTATTGGGCTGTGTATCTACAGAATAGCTAACCCTGAAACCCTCATAAATATGCAATCACCACAACTCTGCCAGCCTCTGTAAGGCCTCTCATCCCTTTATATCTCAGAGTGAGACTCATACATATATTTACTCATAAATCCCAGCAAATACAACTATTGTGTGTCACCAATGCAACTGGTGCCTTTCTGACTTTGTAGGCTTCCAGCGAAGACGGCTCATCCCGGCACCCCTGCCAGACTCCTCTTCCTTGGGGAAGAAGGCGGCCACAGCAGGCCAGTGGGTGGACTTGCCACCTATGTCAGGGCCTCTAAAGGAGCCTTTTGAGATTAAGGTGTATGAGATCGATGATGTGGAGCGGCTCCAGAGGCGGCGTCTGGAGGAAAGCACAGAGGTGAGCAGAGGGTCACTCCTGACTTGTTTTACATGGTGGTACAGCTTGCTGAACTCGTTTAAGATAATGTTTTGTCTGGGTCAAGGTCTCGTTAAATCTCTTCTTGCTAAGCCTCAGCCGTATTTTGCATGTGCGACATTGATGCCATGCACGCTCAAGACGTGTCACATTGACTTGCACTGTGGGAATGTCTTAGCTCACTTCTTCCCAGTTTCCTTTTAAAGAACAAGACAGTAATGCTATGTCTCAGACGTCTGACCTTCAGTCAGCTCAGTGGCAAATCCCGGAGTTTAAATGTCTGCGTTCAGATTCCCAGAGCTTGGTATTTTGGCAGCGTTCCTAAAGAATGTCAAGAGTTCAGGAGGCAATTACTGACGAGGGTTAATTGGTTTAGAAATGAGTGATGACTCGGCTTACTGCTGACGATGGTGATGTGTTGGGGGAGTAAAATGAAAAAGATGATGCGAGAAGACCGTTCAAAGAATGTGTGATGAATGCAGGGGCGCCCAACACCAGCCCAAATCAGCTCAGCGCTAGCACTCATCACTGGACGCCTGATCGCTTTTTATAGCCGACTCCTCTTCTGTGGATCATTAACTGCTCCCACAAGTTTGCTGCAGCCAGACAGGGATTTGTTGAGAGACGATATTAAATCAGCTTCACGGTGGTTTGATTTACTTTCAATTAGGAAAAAAATGATCTTAGATTTTTCTCTACCAGCCATCACTGCCTGAATGACGAAATTGCTTTTTACTATTTCAAAATTAGCAGTGGAGTCTTGTGCATGTGCATCAGTAGCTTGTGTCTACAGTGTGTGTCTACTGTATATTAAGATACTGTTTTCATATGCTATTCATTCTCTTCATATGCTGTCTTCTTTGAACATTCTAACTTGTTGTATCTGTTTACCCCAATCTTGTCTTCAGCAACCATTCCAGGATGTTGACAAGGTGAGTTAATATTCGGGGCGACTGAGGTTTCGTTATTAGCAACACGGGCTGTATTACGGTAGTTACATTACCATGTTTATTATTCACCCCACAGTGGAGAAAACATCATTTTTTACATCACAAAACCTAAACAATTTTTTTCTCTTTTTATTTAGAGCAGAACTTGGCTTCTTAGACTTAAAAGACTGTTTTAATTGATTGTACTTGCTGTGCCAGTTTCAACTTTTTTGACTTTATACTTTCAGCAACTTAGGTCAACTGAACTTTTGAAGTAACTGTAATCAAACACCTCTCCTTTTCTCTCAGGGCCTGCTGTATTTTAACAGTAAGCTGAAGATGCTGGAGAGAAGGCAACAGCAAGTGAGGGAACTGAGGGCAAAGTACGAGGTGTTAATGGAGGAGCTTGAAGACACCAAGGCCCGACTGATGATGGACCCCAGCAAGTGGATGGGAGAGTGTAAGTGACTGCAAAATGTTCTTTTACTGTAAGTTCATATCTAAAATGTAAAAGATATTTGATGACAAACCATTTAACCAAACATTAAATTTCCCCTTTTCTAACAGTTGAAGTGGACCAGAATTTGGATAAAGAGTCTCCAGAGTACCTGGAGGCCTTGGCACAGGCCACAGAAGAACTGGAGTTCTGTGTCAATCTATGCAAGTCCCGTGTCATGATGGTGACCTGCTTTGACATCAGCATGCCAAAATCTGGTGCTCAGGAGGGACTGCGTGAAGTCGAAGTCTGAGGACAAAAGAAAGTCGAGTTGGAGAAGTGAGCAAGTGAGAGAACAAAAGGATGATTAAATGTAGCATTCGGTCTTTAGATATCACTGGAATGAGGAACAACAAGTGACAGAGATGAGACGAGAGTGGATCTTCGCATGAAAACAGAGGAAATATTAACCACCCAGCTACAGTGCCTCGTTGTTCGGGACATGTTTTAATGGCAGAGAAATTAAACGTGAGCACCAATGCAGTGGCCTCACTTACTCAAGAGTCAATGAACAACACCTGGAAGTGCCTTTTGTATCGTTTTGTTTTGAGTCATTATTTTTCATACGGTGCTGGTATCCTACGCATACCTTTGCAAACCCTGAACATATTGCTTTTAAGAAAAATATTTTATATTGCATTGTATAGTGTATTTATATGATTATGTGATGTGTACAAATATCCTTTCAAGGTTAAAAAATAAAGAAGAAAAAAGAAAAAAGCAATAAGCTAATGTTATTGCGCTCCCGGACTTTGCCTTTTCTCTTTTTTCAAACCTTAGTCAGCATTTTATCCATGTTCATTCAGCCTCTTGCGCCTTATTTTAACTCTCTGGTTCTGTAGTTTTTCTAGATTTTCAAACTGGACTATGTTATCTCATCAAGGACTGCATTTGCTGTTGTCACTCAATGCCTGCCAGCTGGCCTGTGAAAGCTAGCAGGGTTGAGTGAATGTTTTTCTCTCCAGTTGCCTTGATCGAAATTGGTCTCAGTGGATGCACTAAGGTAGAGCAGCAGTTATGTTGGGGGGGAAGGAAGGCTTATTCAAGCTGTCCCTGCCCGTGTTTATCTCACTGAAAATGAGAGATTACGCCACAACATATCAATCAGAGGGCCACTGTGATGGATAGTGATTATTCTTGATTCAGCCACTCACTCTGGTGCCTCAATACAATATGTGGTCAAGCAACTCTGAGAGACTTAACCTTCCCTGTTACACTAGCCTGTGAGGATTGCATGGTGACTGGATACACTGATAGCAGTGCTCGTCAGTGAGACAAATTTCTCTCCGAAAGGACTCGTACTGGGTGCTATCTATACACTGTAAAACAAAGAGGAACAGATGAAATAGCACAAGTCTACTGGCCTCTTATACAACACTTTTTCAAGTGCTACCAAGCCTCAGCTCTATGCATTCCAATACATTTACTGCAACTACTGTAAGAACCTCAATGCTGACTTGAGGGCAGCAACACAGTTTGGCCTCTTTTGTCCCCTGTTTTTTCATTTTTTTTTTTATATTCAAATCAACAAAGGTGATCCAGACTCGTAGACTCAAGAATTGTTAGTTTCCTGTTAAATGATGCAGTGAATAATAGGAAATGATCGTGACATGGTTTAGGAAAATCAATCATATCAGCTCTTTGTAGCTGCCAGAATGTGCTTGTTATGAATCAAACAGCTGACACTGAGAGAACAAAGATGATCGGGAAAATGATTGTTGAGTAAAACAAACTGGCTTTGTTGTATTTTAATATGTTTGATTTCTATATCTGTTACAAATATGACTTTGTTTTCTTGATGTACTCTCTCAGGGCCTCTCTGAAGATGCTGCATGAGGTTTTTTAATCATTTTTTAAGAATAATTTCTACTCCATTTTTACCATTCTAATTTTTTACAATAACTTCAATTTTCACTTATGTGGGGTAAGGCTCATAAATGAAATAACTATTACCAAACCAAGACCTTTTTTCCAAGAAATTATATGTGAGGTCATATTTCATATCAAAACCCATATTTTCGGATATCTTTGTTTTTGTATAGGATTTTCAAACCCTGTGTATATAAATGTATGATACGGCAGCTTGTGTTTTACTTTTACAGTACCTGTGAATAAAATGTTTCTTCTTACTGATGAATCAGAGTTGAATGTTGTTTCCTGGTTCACACATTCTATATTCACGGGCTTGATTGTCTCCACACCATTGCAAAGAAAAAAAGGGCCAAACAAGCTTTCTGTCTGCAATCTTCTCAGGAAATCAAAACATTTACATTTATATTTTTGGCAGCTCTAAATCTCATATACATACATAACATAAGAAATAAAATCCAGTATTTGACACATGGACATTTGTGTAGCTTGCTTACTTTTGCACACCTTAATTTTTGGTCTTTATGCAATTTTTAAACTCATAAGATTTCCATTAGTTTATTATAAAACAACACGATAGGCTAAAGACCTTGCCCATTCTGTTGCTAGGGCAACAGCTTTGGTCCAAGTTAAGGTTTATTGTCAGCTATACTGCACTAACAATCATTTCAACAGGAAATAGAAAGTGGCCCATTATGAATGCTTACGTTGTACGATTTTAAAAGGTCTGTATAATAGTATATGCATTCGACAAACAAGAGTAACAACAAGGCTACATTTGTCACTAAATTGACATGTATTTACCTACACATGAAAGTATATAAGGAAATCCGGAGAAATGCTTGTATTACTGCCGCTACCGTCTCATGCACACTGCGCATGCGCGAGCCAGTACCAGAGGAAGTGTTTAAAATAAAAATAGTTTTGCAAAAATGCATGTGTTTTGGAACTACTGAGCATACGATTTATACTATACTGCGCGAGTTGTGTTGATATTTTGTATACGGAATAGTTTTGCTGTTGTTAAACCTATAGCCTCCATTTACGTTAACTCATCAAGGATTTACTCCGTTTTGGGACCGTCCATTCCCCGCGGAGGCATGCGAGGAAAGTTCTCTTCCAGAAGAAAGGTAACACCAGGTGAGTAATTGATATACAAACGGCCAGTTTAAGGATTAAGTGTTCCTGTAACAAACCTTGCCCCACCGGATTGACCTCTTCTGTGAGACTTCGTGGGGGCGTGTCAGACTGTTGATTGAGTCTCCTGATGCACCTGAGCACGCTGTGGCCAATTTATTCCAATTGTTAGATAATTAAAATACTGTTCACAGCGTCTGCTGTGGGATTGCGATGAAATTGTGCCAGGAAAGAAATCTCGCTGTAGAAATTTTTTTTCTTTCATGTAATTATGTCAGTTTTGAATGTGCACCACGCATGTTTGAAGACAACCACCACGTGTTTGAACGTGTAAATACCAACAACATTAGAGGTAAGAGTCTTTTTTTTTTTTTTTTAATGTGGTTGAACTAACAAGCCAACTAGCTTATATTTTTATTCCCTGTATTGTTAGGCCTACATGACTCCTAGCGAGTACAGTATATATAGCTCATAGCTCTGTGCAACTTCAACCATGCCGAGGTCTAACCAGCTATAATTGAAAACACCTGTGAGCCTATGCTGCACACATGTAATTAAGCTACACCTTTCATGAAAAACAGGTAACAGTGGGTGCCGACTATTTGGTTTAATTAGCTTCACACCACACAAGAACATCATTAGTGGTTTATTCCACTATGATATCATTTTATATCTTTGCTTTAAGGCTCTTTTGTAGTCATTTTAAACATGAAATTAAGAGATGAACATGGTCAACTACTGTAGGTTGCAGTGACTGCTGGACCCAGTAGCCAGATGAACGTTGACATTAAGGACTGTTTTTGTTGGAGTGTTTAAAACCTGTATACATCGCACAAACTCTGCGGACGACGTCTTGCTCCTTGTTGGAGAACATATAGTTGTCTCTGCTTACTTGAATCAGCAGTAGCAAAATTGTTAAAGTGTTTGAGTTTGATGTATAGGAACTGACATAAAAAGAGAAGGTGCAGGTCCGGAGTGATTAATTACTCCCTATATCAGGAGGGCCTTCTGCTCAGTGTGATACACGAAGTCCTGTTGAGCATGTACTGTAGGTGTGTGTGTGTGTGTGTGTTCAGCTAGAACTTGGACCCTGCTGTGCAATAACATCTTGCCTCCTCCCGGTTAATTCTGTTTTGATCAAAAGCATAAGAGGTTAATTTGGCGGACTTGCACGACCAGCTGGTCACTGTGTTTCAAATCAAATTCTTTGGGTGATTTTATTTCTTTATTTTTTTTGCTTTCAGTCTGGTGGGTTCTTGGCTCTTTTTGACTCTTGTGATAACAGTTCCAGGCAGTTTACTGTACAGAGGAATCTCGTTACACCCGATTCTGACAAATGCGATGTCGGAAATTCTATCTTTTTATTCAGTTAGTCTTCATCCTGTAGTGATTTGGCAGCGGGCAAAAGCCTTGTTTTGACAAACCGCTCAAGATCCTGTCGGCTCAGACTGCACCTCATTGCTCTTCAGGAAGTCTGTGTCTGAGTGGTAACAGTTGGCGAGGGCTGCTGCAGACGTCTGATGGCTGCTGAGCACAGTCAGTCCCGTGTGTCCCAGCCTACTTTGCCTCAGGGCTCTCATCATTAGGAGGGAGTTGGATGTTGTATGAGAATAGAAATGAGTTCACTGAGAAGTCAGGAGTCACCCCTCACCCCAACCCAGCAATGAGACTGTGTTGGAACTCTACTCACGCCTCTCTGAGTTTTTCATCCAAAAGCAATCACAATCCAATTGATATCTTTCCCTTTCTTCGTGTCTTGCATATTTTGTTTCCAGTATTGTCTGCTGACATAACGTGCTGCAGGAATGAGACCAAAACCAGAAAATGAGTTAGCGGTTTTGTACTCCTGGTTCCGTCGTCTCAAAGTCAATGGGGCCCAATCCCAATCTCCACAATCATGGACTCGGGGACTTTGAGGCGCGCTCGGCAAAGTCCGTGAGGGTTTAGGGCTGTCTCACTGTCAAATCGTCACATACAATTTGAGCCCCTTTATGAACCCTTTCTGTAAGTCCACATTTTTGCAGACTTTGCCCAAGGGAATTACCCACAATACATAGCATTGTGATGTTAAACACGGGGTTACCAGTGTAGTAGAAACAAGTAAGCAAAGAGGACGGCACATGGGTGTTCAGCCTGGCAAATTACATTTACTCAAACATTAAGGATTAACGATGGAGCATAAAAATACATGATTAACAATTGTTAACGGAGGTTCCATTAAGTCCCATTATGATGCATTCAGGCTTCATTAAGTAAAAATAAGTATTTGGTGAAAGTCAATTTATAAAGTTATTATCGTGATCAAATGTAGTCTTATGAAATTCAGTTTTTGGCGAGAAACTTGATTAAATATTGTTGTTTGAAAGAGATGTTTTCACAGCAATATGAAATAGATATAAGAGACGGAATCATTTTATTATTTTTAATGCAGTGGTATTGAATCGGTAATCTGTATCGGCCAATAGGCAAGTTTAAATCTGTGCTGGGAAGGAAAATATGGTTGAAAGTGGTTTATCCTGTCAAACTGAGTCAGAGCAGAGAGTTCGCTCTGACACTTACGAGATGTTTAAATCCTACAAATGCTGGTCCAAATCTCTCAAAGAAAATTGCATTTAGACTATTTAATTCCTTTGGTATTCATCATTTTAGATGACCTCATGTCTTCAGACTGAATGTTATTAGCTTCAGACGTATTGAAGGAAAACTTTCATATCAAAGGAAATCTTTTTGAACCCTCCCTATCCCCCGCTGCCTGTGTTAGGCTGCCTGCATCTGCCCTGGGCATTGCTCGTGGTAGTAGTTGCTCACTTTTTGGATTTATAGCTCTGCAGTCCCACAGATTGGTCTGTCTAAACCAAGCTTGCACTTTGAAGAAGTCCAATAAACCTGACCAAATGCTGCCACTTATTTTCAGTAATTAAAACAAGCTGCCGTGGAGAAAAGTCCTTAAATTATTAGAGGCTAGGCAAGATGTAAGCCCCACACACACGGTTTGTGCCTGCGTGGTCGTGCTTCAGGGGGGTCGTAACCATTGACATCTCCATCCTCGGAACAGATTGCATGTGTGAGGAGTTTTGCACCGAGACAGAAACATTTTAAGAGTTGTAGTCCTGAAGGCTTTCCTCCGTGTGTACTGTAAATTCAGGATGGGTGGCCATACAAGTCCGACGACATGCCGCTGAGATAACGCTACAGGCAGTAAATCAAACCAAAGCAATCCATAATGTGAAAGTGGATTAATTAACCGTTCAGAGACAACTTGTAATGACCCACCACTGAAGATTTAACCTTTTTTACTGTGTGTAATTTAGCAAGCTTCGGGGCAAGAGAGGCTCGGGAACTAGCAAGCATTGCCACATCATACATTAAGTTGTAATGATGTAGGGCTAATACTTTATACTGGTACAAACTCGAATGTGAATCATCTCCCTTTCATTACCATCACTGAACTCCCCGAGAAGGAGGACAAGCAGGAGTTCAAACAGCCTGTTGTGTGTTGACAGCTTGCAGGCTGGCGAGGTAATGAGTGTCTAGCTGATGAAGATGTGCACACAAACACAGCCTCTGATGCTGTCTGACAGTGAGCTGCAGTCACAAAGTGCTGGTGGACGAATGAGTCACAGGAGAGTTGAATGTTCTATCTTTTTGCACGGATGAAGCGGTACATTTTTATCCTGGTGTTATTTTGTCTGTCGTCGAGCGGGTCCTGACCACAATTGATGACAGTATGTGGTTCAGAATGCCAGTTATTCATTGGTTTATTGTGTTTGCTCAGCACATCATGCACTGACTGACCTTGTCAAAGAGTGATGAGGAGAACTTCTTTCTCCACCGCATGCACTGACCTTGTTCTATCAGTGCGCTCGTAGTCCCTTGGTCCACATTACTTGTAGATAAGTGCTGATTTACATAAAGGCTTTGTTTAGAAACACTGTTTTAAAGTGCTTTCAGAATGCTGATGTGAGGAGCTAATGTGCAATGAATATTCATGATTTAAAAAAGGTTCTACACAGAAAACATAGACAGGGTGAAGTCCTTGGTTACATCAGTAGTTGCGCAGGTTGCAGTACACAACAGTCAAGTTAATGACTTGGTGTTGTCCTATGCAGGTCTTTGTTGTTGTTTTTTCGAAGGTTTCCACCCTTTTAAAGATCTGCAAATTGCACTCAGGAGATCACTGGCCATAAAACCAAAGAAAATATTCCCATAGAAGAAGCTAAATCATTTAATTCCAGAAAAAGTGCTCATTGAGATATTGCTATTAATTGCACATTGAAGCTGAATAGCCAGTCATTCCATCAGGTTGTGTTCTCTTAACAGATGGGCAGGCGGGATGAAAGAGACTCTTTTTAATGAGTCTGTTTGTAGATGTTTCTTCATAACTGACAGCCCTCTTTACGTTTAAGTTTCAGTGGCCACCAGGCAGGCTCTTAGCTGGCCCCTAGCAGCAGCCATCTGGTGGACAGCAGAACCAGGGCTACAGGGTGGCTCCTCACTCCACTGAGCTCAACCGTAGCCCATGGACTCAAGGAAAAAGGCTTGTGCCTGATGGTTTAATCTGTTACCTTTCTGCCCTGTGTGGGGATCAGGGGTCAAACAAACTACGCACCAAGATATGACGATATGTAAAGTCGGAAACGTGATGGTGATGTTACGGCTAAATAGAATTTACTGTTGAGTGTGTAGCATTTCTTACTCGCTGCAATCAGAATATCTAAATGAAAACGTCTATCAGCATATATTTTCAGAAAGATTACCACCTGGGGACTGCGTTTTGGCAGGCGGTGTGATGGATACTTGCATCAGCAGATTGCAGGACACGTTTTATTGTAAAGCACTTTATTTGTGCTTGGATGACTTCACATTCAGTGAGCTATGATTGGCAAGTCATGTTTCTTACATCCTGTCCTTTTAGATCAGTACATGTTCAAATCATAAGAGCGTTGGCACTTTCCATCTTTTCGCGGATGAACTGTGACTCATGAAAAGCGAGGCTAATGTGATTTCAGGTCACTGTCATGGCTACTTGATTCTCGTTCTCATTGGATAGAAGAATTATGCGCGTTTTTCAGTTTTTACTGGGATTAATCATTTTTTGCATCTTGAGGGGCTTTGATTTCTTTCTTAGAAACCCTTATGCATTGGATCGAGCTTTCTAACTTTAGTGAACCAAACCTTCAAGTGTGTGAAATCTATCTTAAGTAGTCTCTTTACACAATATGCTCTGTTGATTTGTTTGCTGACTTTGGATTTGGCAACAACAAATTGCAGTGTTGTGTGCAGAATACAAAAACAGCAGAAGTAACAAATTGGCAAATAAGTGTTACTAACTGTTGTTGTATCTATACGATA